GCCCCGAGGCGGCTCGGGGCTCTGGGTCCCTCACGCACCGTGTGTAGCCCGCAGGCTCCTAGCCCGGGGGGCCACAGCCGCCGCCACCTCGGACACAGCCCCATGCTCGCGGCGGCCCGAGCGCACAGCCGCAGCTTGCCGCCGCCTCTCCCCCACCAGAGCCCTCATTGGCGCCCTGTCTAGCAACGCCCACGCCTACTGGCTAGGAGCAGCTGCCACTCAGGCCTGGCGCCGCCCCCAGGCGCTCAGAGACGCACACCCCTCACTGCAAGAGCCGCGGTGTGGGAGGTTCCGGCTGTCCGGAAGACCTAAGCGGTTACACAGCCGCGGGCGCAGCCTGGCCCCTGGGCCCGACGGGCAGCGAGGGGGCGCGGGGCTCCCGGGCAGGAGGGAAGCGGGCGGGAAGGGCAGAAAGGCAGGAAGCCATTTCCGTTCTAGCCAGAAAAGCCTTCACATCGCCTCTGAGAGCACAGCGTTGGGAACCTGCGGACTCAGGGAAACCCCATCTGCTGTGCACCCTAATCTCAAATTTCCTCTCAGCCTCAGTTTTCTCAGCGAAATGGGACAACAGTTCACGGCCTTGGGGCCAAATTTATGCAAATGCCTAAGACGCGGGAGGCGCGCTGCAAGGGCCGAGCTGCAGGTCCGGAGCGGGAGGCCCCTTAGGACGGAGCAGGCACCTGCTGGCCTCCCGTAGACAGCGGACACGGCGGGCGCGGGAGAGGCAAGGAGGGCCGCGGGCGCGGTCTTGTCCTCTGCGGCCACCGGCTTGTCCCGAGAGCGCCCCTGGCCCCAGAGCCGCCCCTGCCCTGGCCTTTGCCTCCCAGCCCTGTCCAGCTCCCCGTGGTCGCGCCCTCCCCTCCCCTCCCCTGCTCTGTCCAGGACGCAGACGACTGCCTTACACGTGGCAAACAAGCACGGTGAGGTCTCTAGTGCTAAACTCGGTGAGTGGGCATGGCCTCGGGGACAGCCGTGGGGTCACCGCAGTTCCCACCAGCGCCCTCACCTCGGGCGGGGTGGTCAGGGTCGGTTCTCACTGTGCCAGCGTGATGGGATCACGGTGGAGTTGCTCACAGAGAGCTGCTTGATCCAGGCTTCCAGCAGGCCAGAGCTGCGTCTGGGGAAGCAGCTCTGAGGCCGCGCCCTGCGGCTCCATCTTGGGGCAGCCAGCGACCCTGAAATGCAGAGAGAGACAGGACTGGGAGAAAGATCACGTGCGTGGCGTTAGCAAAAACGCAGCAGCATGATTTATTTACAATTGGGAAAACATGGAAGCAGCCCAAATGCCCAAAAGTAGATGACTGGATTAGAAAGATGTGGTACATATATACAATGGAATATTACTCAGCAACCAAAAAAGAGA